TATCAATGTGTGGACCAACTATCAATCAAAATGGCATATACAACATTAAAAAAATCACTCATACCATTAAGAGGTCATCATGAACTAAATATAAACTCATTCACAAATGTCAAGCATATAAATGTGATAAGGGTAATATATTTATATTAATCAACAAGGTTGTGTCAATACTAGAAATGATACATCAAATGATATCATACTCAACAAGCATATGTACCAAAGAGTAAGCACACATGAACAAATAATTAATGGTTATGTTAAAGTAATTATACTTAATGAATAAATGCTAAGATAAATGATACCAATTTGAGCACATGAATAGAGCTTTCAAAAACAAAATTTTCTTTGCACTTTTACTCCAACATTCTTGTTGAGGCATAAGTCTTTATCAAGATCAAATTTGCTTTTCCTATGACTTTGCCATCAACTTTACCTACAAAACAAAATCAAGTTTTGATTTTTGGTACCCAAATTTGTTTGAGTCCTTGGGGGTTAATGCTTAAAGTTCCTTTTGGAACCCAAATTTGCTTTACTTTGCCTTCAGCTATCAATCTCTTCAAATGACATACATAAGCAAAGTGTCCTTTTGCATCACAATAATAGCAAGTAACTTTAGAATTAGAGAATTGACTTGCCCTCACAAAGAATCAAAAAGAAGTTGTTAGAAGTCTTTTGCTTTTTAGAATAATCAAATCTAATACCCTCTTTGTTATAAATACTTCTTTGAGATTTTAAGATATAATCAAAATTTTCTTTATTCAAGTTAAATTTGGAAATCACATTCTCAAGACCACAAACTTTCTTTTTCAAGTTTTCATTTTCCTTTTTCAAAGCATTACTAGATTCCTTATTCTTTAAAGATGCAATCTCAACATTTAAGGAGGCATTTTCTTTAACTAAAACCTCATTTTGTTTTGAAAGAGATTCAATTTCATTTTTAAACAATGAAATGGTTTTAGTAAGAGCAAGATTCTCATTTTGTAGTTTCTTGATATCATTCATAGAGCAGTCAAGAACTTTGCATAAATCATCATAAGAATACTCAAAGGAACTTTCATTAATTGAACTAGAGAAGTTAGAGGTTACCTCCTCATCATTGTAGTTATTCTCTTGAGCCATGAAGCAAAGATTTGCAACACCATTCTCCAAGGAGCTTTCACTTTCCATTGAGCTAGTCTCATTATCACTCCAAGTAATAGCAAAAGCTTTCTTCTTCATGCTCTTCATTCTTTAAAGATGCAATCTCAACATTTAAGGAGGCATTTTCTTTAACTAAAACCTCATTTTGTTTTGAAAGAGATTCAATCTCATTTTTAAGCAATGAAATGGTTTTAGTAAGAGCAAGATTCTCATTCTCTAGTTTCTTGATATCATTCATATAGCAGTCAAGAACTTTACATAAATCATCATAAGAATACTCAAAGGAACTTTCATTAATTGAACTAGAGAAGTTAGAGTTTACCTCCTCATCATTGTAGTTATTCTCTTGAGCCATGAAGTAAAGATTTGCAACACCATTCTCCAAGGAGCTTTCACTTTCCGTTGAGTTAGTCTCATTATCACTCCAAGTGGTAGCAAAAGCTTTCTTCTTCATGCTTTTCTTCTCTTTCCTCTCACCCTTCTTCAATTGAGGGCATTCATTTCTATAATTCCCCATCTTGTGGCACTCATAGCATTTGATATGCTTCTTACTTGGTTTTCCTCAATCATCATCATCACTACATATTCTTCCTTTGGAATAGTGAATTTCCTTGTTTCTTCTAGAGGATTTCCCTTTGAGGCTCTTATTCATGTATTTCTTCACTTCCTTTGAAACCAATTTGATGATTTCCTCCTCACTACTAGACTCATCATTACTAGCATCATCTTCACTTTCTTCTTTTTGTTTGCTAGCCTTGAATGCAACATTTTTCTTCTTCTCAACTACTTCAACTCCACCATCAACTTGAATATCCATCTCATATGTCATCAATTTTCCAATGAGAACATCAAGCTTGAGATTGTTGAGATCCTTAGACTCTTCAATTACGGTTTTCTTGGCTTCCCAATTCTTAGGCAAGCTTCTAAGAACCTTCCTCACCACTTCTTGAGAAGGATAAACTTTACCAAGAACCTTGAGATTTGTAACTATATCATTAAATCTTGTCTACATATCTTGAATGCTCCCCTTCGATTTCATCTTGAAAAGCTCATACATGTGAATGAGTCTATTGTTTTTTACTCCTTCACTTGGCTTGTTCCTTCATGTGTTACTTCTAACTTGTCCCACATCTCCTTAGTCGTATTACACTCGAAAACTCTATTGAATTCCATTGGATTGAGGGCACATTGAAGCATGTTGATTGCTTTGTTGTTGATCATGATCTTCCCCAAGTCTTCATCATTCCATTCAACTTCCTCCTTTGGCACCTCCTTTTCTCCAACAACTTTCATGGGCAGATATAGACCTTTCATAGTCACAATCCATGCCCTAGGCTCATTTGCAAGCATGTAGACCTTCATCCTATTCTTCCAATAATTATAATTAGTACCATCAAAGAAAGGAGGCTTAATGGTAAATCAACCTTCAAGTGGTTGAGAAGCTTGAAATTAAGCCATCCCCGATCAACTCCTAGGTGGTTAAACCTTCAAATTGGAGCCCTTGCTCTGATACCAATTGTTGGCCCAATGTACTCCAAGAGGGGAGGTGAATTGGAGTTGAAAAAATTTCACCTCTTTGCAACCACCAAACAAAAATCAAAGAGAGAGTAAGGGGAAGAAGAGCTTGCACAATGATTTTATAGAGGTTCGGTCCAATCACTTAGAACCTAATCCTCTACCTTGGCTTCACTCACCAAGGATTTCCTCCACATTCTCCACTAATAAAATCATGGGTGGCTTAAAGGAGCCACTCAATCCTTTTACAAGAAGAAGAAGGGTGTTTCTCTCAAATCTCACCCATTTACAAGATAAACCTCAAGAATCCTCTATAAAAATCACTCTTGAAGGAATAATCACATCCCCAAGATAACACACAAGTAGAACAAGAAAAGGATTACAAGTAAAGATCTCTCAAAGATCAAAACTCAAAGTTAAAGCACAAGATGTTAGGTAAAGATATTTAATAGAATGCTCTTTAAACTCATTCCAGTTCTACTACCAACCATATTTATAGCCCCATGGTCGAAAATAGTCATTACTAGATATTGGGATCATTCAATGCTTTGCAGGTCGCATAATTTCAAGTTGCAGATTTGTCAGTACAGTTGGCTTAGAATCCTACATCCAGCTTTTTGGGTTTTCTGCACATTTTGTTTTCTTCATGGAGCCAACTTAGATTCTTAGAGCCAGCTTTACGGGTTTCCTGCACATTTTGTTTTCTTGTACAGCCGACTATAAAATATAAAGCCAGCTTTGGAATTTCAACTTTAAAAACATTAAATAATCTTCAAATAATTCGACCGTTACCATCATAGCCGGCTGCAAAGTTAAAACCAGCTTTGTGTTTGTTTTCTGTGTGCACCAAACTGTGCACTTAAATTTTTATCCTGTAGAGCTGATTGAAGCTTCTAGAGTCGGCTTTCTGCACTTGCTTTCACTAGAGCCGACTACAGATTTTTGGAGTCGACTCTCTGCACATTTTTCAGCCTATTTTGATCCTTTTTAGTGCAGTCCAATTTCACTTAATTTTGCAATGTTTTGGAAGTTCAACTATACACTTAAATGAACAAATTAATCACTCAAATGTATTTTATAATAATCAAAATCATAGGTACAACACATCAAGATAAGGGGAAATCATTTCTAAACCTAACATATTAACTCTAAATTTTAAAATCTCACGCTACTTCGCCTTCTAATTATACATAAGAGTCTTGAACTAGTTTCTTAATTTCCATGGAGTGGTAACATGATTGGTAATAAAGGCTGTTCAAATAAATAAATAAATAAATAACACATGATTGGTAAGATACCTTCCTCCTCATCAAATTAACAATTTGATTTCCTTTTGTGAGACTATCAGGAGGTTTATACTTGCACAACGTAGTTTTTTTTTTCTTATGTGTACTTTTTTTTCTTGATTTTTTAAACTGAAGTTGAACTTTAACAGGAGAGAAGGACTGAACTGAAACTGAAACCGAAGGACTTTTCTTGTAACCTTCAACAGAACAAGGTTTAAGGACCTGATTGATTTCTTTGAAAAGATTGGGGGAAATTTTTTGCAAATGACAAAACATTCTAGAGTTTTCCCTTCCGAGTTACAAATCTTAACGATTTCCGTTGTGGTAGTCGACTCCGCTCTCACTTGGGTTCTGCTGTACCGGTTTCACAAACCATGTCAAACTGGATGGCTCATATGGGCAGTACTCACTCCCCTACTAGCTACAATTCTAGCCTTCACTTCTCACATTGTCAGTGGCAGGAGGAATGGAGGGATATCCGTACGATTCATCCATCCCTACACCAACGACGGTGGTGGAGGAGAAAAAGTGCTCCGGTACGCCGTTAAAGGCATCCAAGAAGAGTCCCCTGATCTCCAATGCGTTGTCTACACTGGCAATCACGATGCCTCTGTTAAATTAGTAAAGTAATTTTCTAGATGGGTTACTGTTCATGAATAGCTCTTCATCTTTCAGTTATGTAAGCGTGTGAGATCAAATATGTTTATAACAGTTACAATTAGTTTATTTTGTTTAGTGGTGTGGCAGTTTCTTCTGCAGTTTGTAACTTCTTTTCATTTCAGCAGTGTTTACGTATTTTCATCATCTTATTTTCTAAGTAATGAAGAAATTCAGAGTCATACAAGTCTTGTTCCTTTTTAGCCATTTTTGAAGTTCTTTGGTTTGCCTTTCTTCACTAAGGTTGCTGATCTCGGGTTAGTGTGGCTTTGGTTACACTAAGATTTGTTTACAGCCTCCCATCATTCCTTAATGGCTTGCCCCACCGATCGTTTTGGAGTCCACCTCCTTTACCCACCCAAGTTACTTTGGACTCAATTTTTGCTTTGATCACTCTTAGTTTGGTTTAGAAGAAGTAGAAATGACTCTATCTCTGAAAGAATATGTCTTTTCCAATTCTTAGGTGGTTCAGCTATATTAAAGGAAGTGGAGTGAAGAGACTACATACCCTCACTTCACTATTTGCCATACACATTAACATTATCCTAGAATCAGCTTAGACATGATATCTCGGGCTCATGACAGGAGCTTCATGTGTAATAATGATGCCTCAATTGCTAAGAGTTTTGCTTCTTACTTAATTTTGCTTTGTTGTTCTTATTTTGAGCTGAGAATCTGGTTTTTTAAAACTAACTTTGATTTGTTTCTGCAATAATTTTTAGGGTAAGCGGTAACAATTCAACATTTTTTTTTCCTTTTGATAGGTGAAGAATTTAGCATGTAGCTACCGCAGAGGTTTGAATCCTGGCCATTTGAGGTTTTGAAGTTAGTGGTTGCCAACTTGGCTAAGTTCTCTTTGGTTTTATTCAATAACTGTTTAAGAAATCTTGATTTTAGTTTGTGTTGGGGATTTGGCTGATGGCTGCAACTGGTTGATATTGGTTAAGTTTGGCATTAGAGCAATTTAATGGTTTAGGTACTGGCATTTACCTGTTTGAATTGGCTACTTTATATACTTCTACTCTTCTTGACTAGTACCTTACAAAAGTTTTCTCCCATGGCAGCCCTTGGATATCCCAGTGCAAAATCATCTATTATAAAACATACAGTTGGATGTTGGGATCTTGTGCACACTTTGTAATGGTTAATTCTTCATGGACTCAGTCCCACATCAAAAAGCTTTGGCGAATCCCTAACTGTACTAAGCAAGTCTATCCTCCCTGTGATACTTCAGCGCTTCAGGTTTGTAATTTTCTGTTTGTTTATGGTAGTCATTCTCTCTTTCTCTCTCACCGCACTTTAAGATCAACTATTCCATTTTGTTCTTTGAAATGCTTCTTTGACATTCCTTCAATAAATAGTATTATTTATAAAATTACTGTAAAGGGTTATATGCATTTGGATTCATACGTTAATTCATAGGTGATTCTGTTTATCTCCTTTAAGTTTCTTTTACACGACTTTACCTAAATTTGAGTTTGATCTGAGAAAATGAGGACAGAATGCGTTGTCCAATCTAACTGACCACAATATAATTTTGTGTACAATATTTTCATTTTTTTGTAGTTAAATATTTTCCAATTAAGTTAGAAGTTGAGATTCTATATGTTTGTATAATTGCCTTGATTTTGTGGTTTTATTTGACAACATTGTAACTTTCCTTCACCGGTTATATGTGTGTAAGTTGATCTTTCTAGTCACATTTTTCAATTTTATCTGATAGGTGCTTCCTTTGGAAAGACTGGTTGGAAGGCCAAAGATTATGTCTGTTGCTCAATTTCGTCCTGAGAAGGTATGCATGCTTTCATTTATCTTAAAGACAAAGGTAAAATGGTTTTGGTGGCTCATTTTTGGTTGCCTTAGTTATTGGTGCTAGTTAATTCAGTTTAATTCTTGTAGTTCAGGCACATAGCCTTCAACTTGGGGAAAGATTGCTGAATTTGAAAAACAAAGCAGCAATACTGAAAAATAGATGGGGATGTCGAATTCCACAAGAATTCAAGGTACAAGTATGTGCCGGTATTACCTGATTATCCTTTTACAACCAGTTTAGTTTAGGTGAAAGTCTATTTATCAACTGAAGGTGCTAAATTTTGTTATCTTTTTTATAAACCAAAGGCATTATTTTGAGTTAGTTTGAAAAAATAAAAGGCATGGGAAAAGATGCTTGACATTCACGTCTGCAGATCGCATTACTTTATAGGAGGCCTTAGCTAATTGATATATTCAAGCTTTCATTTTTGTAGTATATGGTTCAGCTAAATAGGTGGACGTTTCTGACCCTTTCTTCAAATTTATTAGCTTATTTCTGGACTTAATAATACTAGAATATAGTTAATCGGATCATCAATTGAGTTGAAAAACTGCTTTAATTGACACGTTGTGATTGTATCTTCCTGCTAAAATGTCAATTAATCCTCGATACCTTCATGGCTGTGCCTGTTGAGTTTTTATAAGCTTAGATTGGTTGAAAAGAATTTACTAACTTATAAGCTTTTCAGAATTGACTCATTTTTCTTCAATTCTAATGTAACAAATCTCAGGGACTTTGGTAAGACTTTCGGGAAGCACTGTTGCTGGAATCCATTCAATGGTAGACAAGCACTTAGGTGTAGTTACTGTAGAATACATGGCTGCTGGAGCCATCCTAATCGGTTGGCATTCCAAGTTTCCAACTTCCAGGGTATCTTTCCTTTGAAGATCGAAGGTAAATTGTGTTAGGCTGTTTATTATATCATACTGTGGAACTGATTTTTTGTCACTCATAACTCTGCAGGACCAACATTGGACATTGTTTTGGACAATGGCAGACAACAAACTGGGTTTCTAGCTCGGAGCCTGGAAGAATATGCAGAAGCAATCCTGCATGCAGTAAGAACGCCTGAATCTGAGAGGCTCGGGATGGCTGCAGCTGCAAGAAAACGTGCTGGCAGATTTTCGAGCAAAGATTTTATGATGATTTCATAGCTGCAATTAGACCAATTTTATGCAGTGAAATTGTAACAACAGAAAAGCAGCCATATAGAGCATAGTAGTGTTTACACCGAAGAAAGAAAGAAAGAAAAAAAAAATCATTCTTCAGATATATTTTCCATGATCATGATCTATAGAAGGCAAAAAAAAAAAAAAAAGCCCTCTATAACATACATTTTACGCTTTGCAACCAAGTAAATGTTCCCTTGAACAACCTAATAATGTCTCAAGGTAAACCAATGGTATAAGCAGAAAAGAAATCGATGGAAAAAAAGCCAACTCCTCTCCTAACTCACTAACTACTGCGAGCTAACCTATCCCAGAACTCTTCCACAGATTTCTGCTTTTCAAGCCTCCAAAACTCTTTACCTCTGCTGATATACTCCTCAGCCCTGGCGTCCACTCCATACAGTTGTAGAGACTTCCTATCAAAACAATCATTGTCCGAATCATCTTCTACACACTCGTTTTCAATCCCAGAATAATGTTTCTGATGGTCATGGGAAGAACTATCATCAGAGTCAACTCTCACCGGCAAAATTGCTCTATCTATCATAGCATGATGATTATATACCGGTGCCAGAGTCCTCTGATCCCGGGGAATGGATTTAGAAATAGTTTTGGTATTGGATGGTTTAATCGATTTTTGAAGGTAGAGTAGTTTGGATTGAAGTTTAGATGTCAAGTGCTTCAACACCTTCTTTGGCCGTGAAAACTTCTTTTCTGGGACTAGGAAAGGCATATTTGGTTGTTGATAGGGTTTTCCTCAAGGAAAATGATGGAACACACTAGGGTTTTGCTTGAAAGCTTTTAATTCATCTAAGGAAGAAATATGCATAACATTTATATTTTTGAGAAATGAATCTGTGAGGATGAACCTCAGTCTTAAGAAAGATCTCATTGACACAAATTAAGCATTTGATTGATGTAAACTGAATCTTTAATAATCATTATCATTTAAAACTTTAATTTAAATTAATTTTAGTAACTTGGATTAAAAAATTAAATTGAAATTCAATCTGATCTGGTTCCTGTCTTTAACCCTTTTAACAGTAGAAGAATTTAATGAGCAAAAACCCAAATCCATATTTTTTTAATATGATTTTCC